AGACAGACACACACACACATACACACCTTCCCTTGTTTCTCTTATCCACCAAACATTTTTAGCGTTCTGTACCAACGAATAAACAAGAACAAATTAAAGATAGCTGTGTTATGTGAACAAAGAAATAAAAACATAGTAAACATTGACATATTGGAACTAAGGTTACAAATAACAACAATTACAACAACAGCAACAACAAAACAACAACAAAGAATTAAAACAACAACAACAACAACAAAACACCACTGAAAACGAACAGTGTCGTCCTAATAAATGTAGATCTAATGAGTTAAGCTCTTCGCTCTGAACTGAAAAACAAAATAACCCAGAAACCCCCTCAAGAAACAGAGTTGGATTCTCACGTAGGGAAGATATTTCATCGAGTAACTCCTGGGTTTTCCCCGGATGCAACACCCAGCACAACCCGAGGTAGCGCAAACTGGCGAGGCCGGGGCAGCACGGCTCATAAATAACTTCAATGGCCATGAGTGAGGCGTAATAATGTTTACAACAAAACTTTACGACAACAAAAAAAAAAACCCCTGCAAACGTCAGGAAAGGAAATCTGGTAAAAGGTGTGACTTTGACTGTGACTTTTACGACAAGCACTCGCCCGGCCCTTGACACACCCCTGCCACAGGCACGACAATCGTTTTCATGGGGTTGCAGACAACTAATTGTGTTTGCTATAATGGAAACACTTTATTTTAATGTATGGAATGCTTTCTCGCGTTGGGTTGATTGTAAAATGAAATGTGTTGTTGATACAGTCTAGGATATCTTGAAGGCAGGCCATACTGACCACTCCTGTCTGGACAAAGTAGGGATATGTTAGATTCTAGTCCCAGGAGAAAATTGGAGATACCGGTAGGCTACTCAATAAATAAGACTTTCTCGCAATGGAGTACATCTAATAATTGCAATCAGGTCTTTTGCGTTTTCCTATTGTCCTACAGCCGCTGGTAACATTACAAGATCAATATGGCTAATATTATATGTGTAAAATAAATGAGTACAACGTTTTCTCAGACTCGAACGAAGAACAAACAATCTGTTTTTAATTCAAGCTTGTGAAAACGTACTTTTACTCATTTAAACTTGGTTTAATCAGAGAAGATCAAGGAACTTACATTTTCGTATGATGTGGAGGGGGCACAACGGGGAGGCCTACAGCACCTGAGCATTGCTAGTCAGAACTTTGTTATTTTGGGGTCGCAAAATATAATATTTATGTATCTTATATTTTTCGTAGCGTGTTCCCTGTAGAGAGATATCAATCACGTGACTCATGGCGTCATGTCACAGACAACGAAAGACAGCAGCAAGCCCTGGGCGGGGAGTTCCGGTAAGACAAAATTATAATCTCGCATTATCTACCTGAGTCTACGTCAGTTTCCGTGCTAACAGGATACGTTTTTCATGTCGTGCTGCCGGCTATTTAAGGAACAATTTGCATACTTCCCCCTCACATCATTAGATCAGGACATTGCGATAAGAACATTAAAACAATTTCGGTTTGTTAGGAGGCGAGATTTCTGTATGTTAACATTACAAGAACATTTAATCGCAAATTACATCGCGTGCGGCTTTTCTATTTAATCAACTCTGTGAGAGGATTTTGGGGGGGGCCTGTCAAAAAAGTTTTCCTATCGTTGTAGAAGGACGCAAGAGAATTTTGCGACAGATATTCTCGTAAAAAAATCACCAGAAGTTTCAAGATTCCCTGCCTGTGGTATTTGATAGTGAGAAGTCGCCTATCAGTGCCCAGTATCACAGAAGAACCAGTCAGCTAGGACAAGGACGTCCACACCAGGATAATAAGAGGTAGAGAGATAAGGAGAGCTATGAAACCTGGGTACGTCTCCCGCCTGGCTATTTGGGTCATTCTCTGCACTCTCAGCGTGGGTGAGTACATACACACGTCCAAATTCTCCCCTCCCCCAATTATTCTCTCTCTCTCTCTCTCTCTCTCTCTCTCTCCTCTGTCTCTCTCTCTCCTCTCCCCCCCTCTCTCTCTCTCTCTGACTATCTCCCTGTATTATGTATTATATCTATCTGTGTGGCCTCCCGTGGCTCTCTTTGTACCCGTCCTTCTCTTTGTCTATGTCTCTCTTTTTCTCTCTCGCCCTCGTTCTCTCTCTCTCTCATCATTTTTCTCTTCGCGTGTCACTTATAATTCTGTCTCTTTATGTCTTTATCCCTTTGTCTCTCTCTCACTCTCTCTCTCTCTCACTCTCACTCACACTGTCTGTCTGTCTGTCTGTCTGTCTGTCTGTCTGTCTGTCTGTCTGTCTGTCTG